GTTTTCCGCAGTTGGCTTCAGAGGGGGAAGGTTCAGGGCTTTGGGGTCTAGAGTCCAAGGTTCTTGGGCAAACGCTCTTGGTTAGATACAGGTTCAGGATCGGTTCAGAGATGTGGAGCTTATTTTACGCTTTGGAGTCTTGAGGCATCTTGTCAAACTTGTAGGAGGACGATGAGTCTGCTTGAGCATTTGCGAGCGCTAAAAAGGAAGAATCCTATTGCTGATGGTATCTGCCAGCGCCGGTCCTGACTCTGGGCTTGGTTCGTGCTTTGGACAGCTCATGCTGATGCTAGGATTCTTTTCGCCATTGGGTGCACCTGCTGCTCAGGACGGCTGGGCTGAGCTTCGGGTGGCACCTCCCACAGCTTACGCTCATGATGCTCGAGTTCTTTCGGGGCATTTTGGTATACATGCCTTGTATGCTCATCACGCCCGACTTGGGTGGGGCAGTGGCGGGTTTACCTGCCACGGCTGATGCTCATGATGCTCGGTTTTTTTTGGGTGCCTCTTGGTGCACCTGATGCACGTGATTCACGGCTTGGGCGGTGCTGTTGCGGGTATATATGCCAGGGCTGATGATCATGATGCTCAGCTTCTTTTGGGTGCCTCTTGGTGCACCTGATGCACGTGAATCTCGGCTTGGGTGGTGCTGTTGCGGGTATACCGGCGGCTGATGCTCATGATGCTCGGCTTCTTTTGGGTGCCTCTTGGTGCACGTGATGCTCGTGATTCTCAGCCGCATGACAAAGGCGAACGGCACGCGCTATTTCATCTGTAACGGAAGGACGGATTCGATCTCCATGATGTGATAAGCCATCCGGTGCCTATGAAGTCCCATATGAATTGGAATAGAGTCGTGGGATATACTTCATGGGATACTAATACTGATTCTTGCTTGTAACTTACTTGGCAAGTCCCCGAATGTTTTTCCTGCCAAAACCGGAACCTGCCCCGTTGATGCCGGAGGTGGCTTTCGTGCTGTTGCCACCACAAAAGGACGACTTGTCCTTGAGGCTGCGGGGCAGGGTCATATAGGGCCTCGATGGGGGCATCTAGGGTTGCAGGCATTCGCGGGTTTAAATTCAGGGTGTGGAGTTCCAGTCCATTTAGAGTTTGGAGTTTAGGAGCTTCGGGGATTTGAGTGTGGGAATAGGACTGAATCTAGGCCGCATCAGCAAGATGTGGAAAACCTCTGAAGATCAACAAAGACGGGCAGAGAAACCCCCACTTCCTAAAGCCGAAACAACCCACAGACCATCTGAATCGCGCTCAAGACCTGAACCAACGCCCCGAAAAGCCTGCAACTCTTCAGTCGTTGATGCACGGGGTTCAGCAACCTAGTTACAAAGGGACTTTGCTTAGCATGGACCTCACTCAGTCAGGACAGGTATGCTTATCAGGGTTCAAAGGTTTGGGTGCAGCGTTCGGTTGTCCCATGAACACTGCCTAAACTGCCTAGAGCAAGGACTAATTTTTGAAGCATGCCAAGAAGCCAGCAACACTACACGTCCACCATGCTCCACCACGGTGTTCGCGGCAGACATTCCTCCATGGGATTTTGTAGGCTCTCGGGTAACAAGGAGACTCCGCCAGGATTGCCACCTAATGTGGCCGTAGCCCCAAACCCCAAAAGTCCAAAACCCTAAAACCCAACACCCCGTTCCAGCTTCCTTGAACCCGAAGGCCCTGAAGCAAAGGTTCACCATGACAGAAAGGATCACGAGAAAAGACGAAGCAGAAGACTCTGAATGGTAGTGAGAACGCTCGCTGTGAGATCAGCGTGAGTAACAATACAAACAACACTAAACAATGTTGAGAGCAACAACAGCAACAGCAACTATGCGAAGGAGGACAACACTGCAAATTACATTGCGGATGTCACTCGGAGTTGCTGCTAGAAAAGCCTCAGTCCCGAGCCTCGCAGCCGCTTCCTAAACCCCAAACATCCCTAATTGAATCTCGACCCGCACGACATTCTTGTGATCACGCTTGCACCGGAATGACCTCCCACAACGCCTCTTTGATGATACCATCAACCCCGGATCAGACGGCTGTTTCCATGGTCTTTTTCGCAAAGGGCTTCGCCGAATCCACTCCAATCCCTGAAGCTATCTATGCCAAGAACCTCATGCGGTGTCTGGCAACACGAAACCGAACCCTGCCTGAACCCTACGTCTAAAATCCACCGCAGCGCCTTACGAATCACCCCTTTGGGGCCTCCTAGGCCGCCGCCGACCACGATTGCCTGGTTCGTTGGGAACGAACACGCCATGGTGGCAAAAAAAGCCTGGGGCCAGGGCGTTTGAGGGTTTCAGGATCTTCAGGGTTTGGGGTGGCTTCGGGAATGCAGCGGGCTCAGCATTGTATGCGTGCGGCCTCTTCCAGAAACCAGGGTTCGAGGACTACGGTTTAGACTCCGGCTCTAATGCTTGGGCTTCAGAGTCACGAGTGCCTACTTTCCAAGTCCCGTGAACGCTTGAAGGAGGAGGAGGTCATGTGCCTAGGAAAGGAGAAGGTTTTTATAAGGGTTTGGGGTTCAGGGCTCTTTTTTAAGGCTTAGGGTTTGGAGGGCATTATCTTGAGAACCGGCAAAGCCGTGAGAACCTGTGGACCCCCCCTGACCAAAAAAAGCTTGTACTCTGGGCTGGAGGATGCGAATTTCGTTTAGAGTTCCGGTAGGGGGAACCAAATCCTACAGCCATCTCAAGCCCTCAACCTGAAACCCACCTGAACAAACCTCTGATTAGCTGAGTCTCCCCCGGGCGCTTGAAGTTGCTCGCCGCAAAAAGAACGGGCCCACGGCTGCGGAATTCGGAGCTCCAACCCACGAACCACATGATCATACTATGGCACAAGCAGTTACAAGGTAGATTTTCTGAATGGCCGCAGAGGGCGTTGACAGGGGTAGGGCCGGGTAGGGTGCGGTATGACCTTCCACGGTCTTGCCAGAATTGTTTGTCCCCTTGCACACGCCTCGACAATGATCTCTGAAACCGGAGCATGTGCGGTCGATTGGTCATGGTAGCAACTGGACCCTCTTATGTCGGCAGAGGGCACACTGATTTTGCCACCGGCTTGCACTTTGGAACCCTTGTGGTCCAGGAAGTCAAGGCATGCTCCAGTTCTCACAAGATGAGGTTCGGGCTTTTCGGGGTCTGTGATTCTTGGGAGAACCCCGGAGCTCCTGTGCCACACAAACGTCTCTTAAAAGGGGAAAGCTATTGGCTAGTTGCCTGGTGAGGTGAACCTGTGTCTTCTGACTTGAGAACTACCATCTTCTCAAAAGTCGCACTTAGGGCCTAGGGTGTTTCCTTGGTTCAGCTTGAGGGTTCGGGATAACACCATCGCACATGTCTCTATACCCCGGCCCCAAACACCAGCCAACCGCAACAGACTGAACCTTTAACCGCAATGCCAAACCCTTAACTCTAAATCCGCAGCACCTGCACAAAGCCGTGCGAAAATCTCCACCGGGACACACCTCACCATTCGGAGCCCCACTGTCTCATGGCTGCCAGGACGGGCGCCCTGTGCTTAGGTTTCTCGTGGCTCAGAGATTCTTCGGATGCAACGTTGTTGGTTCGCGGCTGCGGGTTGGGGGTGGCCGGCGCGGGACTGCAATGCTGTCGGGTACGATCCGTGTATGTTCTTGAGGGTTCAGGATCTGAAGTTGCGTGTTCGTTGTCCGTTCAGGTACTGGGCTTACGATCTCGGTGTCATCACCCTCGTCCTCTCGCCGACGGACCACAAATCACAGAAAACCGAAGTCAGTCGGCTAAACGTTGGGCCATTACCACCCCAAAAATCCCGTGCTAAGACAATCCAAAACCGAGAACCCCCAAAACAGAAACCCCAGAGACCATCCAAAACCCAGCAACCAGAGAAACAACAAAAGCAAGGGTATCAACTTAAAGAAGCCTATCGCTAACCATGGGCGCAAAGGCTCTGCAAAACCGAAGGAGGCCTCCTGGGTCGCTTGAACCGCGAACAGAGCTTGGCTACACGCCGACTGCGCGCCGCGCCGCAGGCGCCCTGTTGAGGAGTTTTGGAGGTTCCCGAAGATTTTGCGACTTTGGGTTTTGAGGCTTGGGGGGAGCTTGGGGATGGGCGACGTCAATGTCAAATAAAGTTTAGGGTGTGCGCTTCCAAAAGTTGGGGTTTACCGTGCGGGGGTGGGGGGGGGTTCTGACTGCTTAGGATTCACCCGTAGGGTCTTTTCGAAGAAGGCGCTTTTTCACGTCTGTAGATCGAAATACTCCGAGGCCATGAAGCAGCACCATGGACGATGTCAGAAGGGTGGTGCTTACCAGAGCCGACAGCCTTCGTTGGACCGAAGGGACCCTAAGACAGGGCTTTGGGCTCAGGGTTTAGGGACTCCTCGATTTCTCGCAACACGCACATCCGAACGCATCCCGGCCTGGGCTCACTCCACACGTCCCGGGATCTGGATGCTTGCCTCATAGCCTGGCGGAAGGGACAGGTTTGGATTTCGGGTGGCTGGTGTAGGCTGCAATGTCCTTTCGGGTCCAGCGGTTCAGCTTTACAGGGTTTAGTTTCCCAGATTAGGGTGCAGGGCTTATGAGCTCACCGGGTGGAACATGTAGACTGGAGCTCTAGAAGTACTTGCCTTCATCCCACCTTTTGAGGTCCCTGATAAGCCACGCAGTCGGCGGCTCCAGCCCATCGTTTTTCGGGGCCCTCAACATCCTAACCAGCCATGCCCTGGGCCCCAGGATGTTTATACAGGCATCCCTCAACAGGATTTGGGCCGTCGGGGGAATGGGTTCAGGGTGAGGGAGTCTGGGTTGTTTAGGGCTTCTGGCTATGGCTTTGGGGCTCTTACGCCTCTATTTAGGGATTGGTTTCCACAACCGCTCTGTCGCCTCCAAACGGCTGGGTGCTCATGACATAGAGGGGGAAGGAGATGTAGACAAGGCCCATGACGATCCTGGGCTTAAGGCTTCAAGGGTTCTGCGGTTTCAGCGTTTTGAGAGCAGACACATAACGATCCTGGAAGGTTTGGGACCTCTTCTCCACATCTCAAAAGAGTCTACCGAGTCGCATGATGCCGTAGCCGATAAGCTCCACCCGCCAGATGTGTCCCCTGGGAATGCCAAGCACGGGCGTCACCTGACGGGGCCGGGGGAAAGCTCCGAAGTGCCATGTCGGTAGTTATCTGACTCCAGGTCCCTTCTGGTGTCCTTACTTTTCGATCGGCCTTTCTGAGGTGAGGAGTTAGGGTCCTCCAAAGAGAGGGCTTTCGACGAACGCGCACCTTCTTCCAGCCGATGCAGGCATGGTACATGAAAATGAAGACAGAGAAGATGTAGAAGAAGGACCAAAGCGGGTTCTTAAAGATCTGGAACTCCAAAGCCTAAGCGAACCGACAGTTTCGACTTTTCGGGTTTGCTGCAAAGCGCGGGGTGGGAGCGAGCGTAGCGCTGTAAGGCCCGGGCGTAGATGTCGCGCA